CTGTGGAAGGTCAGTAGTTCAGCAGTTCGAGACCCGGGTGCCACATGATGGAGTGAGCTCCCGTCTCTAGTTCCAGCTCCTGCTAACCTAGCAGTTCGAAAGCAAGAAATTGCAAGTAGATAAATAGGGACCACTTCAGTGGGAAGGTAACAGCGTTCCGTGCACCTTGGTGTTTAGTCATGCCGGCCACATGACCACGGAAACGTCTTCGGACAGCGCTGGCTCTTCGGCTTTGAAACAGAGATGAGCCCTAGAGTCGGATTCGACTGGCTTTCGAGCAAGGGAACCTTTACTTTTACTTTAATGATGCTTTTATATTGCATTCTTAAACTGATGTTCTTTTGTATATGTTGTTTTTAATGTTCTTAAACTGATGTTCTTTTGTATATGTTGTTTTTAATGTATGCCATAAGCTGTCCTGAGCCCGCCTCGGCAGGGAGGGCGGGGTATAAATTTGATCACATAAATAAATAAAGATGAACACGGTGACCCATGTTGATCACGCCTGCTATTGTCATTCGCCTGCCTGCCTGCCTGCTCCTCCAACACCAGCCATAATTGCTATGTCCCTGTTCCCTTTCTCCACCCCTACAGAGGGGATCTTCTGTGTAGACCCCCCCCGCTTGCTAAGACCCCTCCTGCACATTTGTTGGGGTAGGCAAACAGCGTCCTGCTGGGCAGATCCAGGCCACGTGCAATCGGGGATTAATCGGAAGAAGTGGGGGCACGCATGCCATCGCCCCAGCCAGGCCCAGACCATCATTAAAGTGTCGAATTCTGTGCCAAATAATTTTAAGTAAATGAAAGCATTTGGGATTGTTTTCCTTACTTTGCTTGGATCATCTTAAGTTAATGGATGAGTTGTTTTTTCTAAAGTAAAACCTCAGCATTCAGGTTAAATTGCCGTGTTGGCACTTTGCGATAAATACGTGGGTTTTGGGTCACAGTTTGGGCACTCGGTCTCTAAAAGGTTCGCTATCACTGGTATATTGTATGCACCAGGCCCTTCACAATCACATGCACTGCTCCACACCAGGGGAGCGGGGAGGCAAAATGTGGTCACGCGAGAGCCGCCTGGGTTTGCTTCGAGTCACATCTCTCTGCCATCAAGCACACGTTTTGCTTTG